CCAGCAGATCAAGGCTGCGGTGGCTGGGAGCGCCCACTGCACTTCAGTCTGGGCGACGGAGTGAGACTCCGACTCAAAAAAAAACAAAACAGTTCTTCACCCTCTCTGGGCCACTCTGGGATCTCAGGGGTTGTTAAGTATGGGGATGACATGGAGTCTTTGTTTTCACTGTCAGGTGATTTTCCACCCGGAGTTCCTCTCCTCCACAAGCCCCCTCCTCCCTGTGGACTATGAGGAGTTTGTCCGTGGCTGCCACCTGGGCGTCTTCCCCTCCTACTATGAGCCTTGGGGCTACACACCAGGTAAGTATAGTGGGTAGGGGACAATGTGGTCATGGGCTTCTAGTCAGATCCAGTTTGTGCTGGGGCAAGATCTTCCCTGAGCCCTGGTTTCCTCCTTCACAAAACAGAGACAATATCTTCTACAGTACACATTTCGGTGACATAGTAACTCGTGTCATGTGAAACTACAAGACTGTTGTCAGTCTCAAGTGGATGTCACAGTTCACACTGATTTCCCCCAGTTTGCTGATGTGTGGTCCCCCCAAATAGCAGCAGCTAGATACCCAGTCGCTAACACAGCCGGGTGTGATGAAGTCTCCTGAGCTGTCCCAGAGCCCACCGACTCTGTCTTCCTCTTGCTGGCTCTTCAGCCAATGTTTTTTGGGGTTTTTTCTTTTTGAGTCGGAGTCTCACTCTGTCAGTCAGGCTAGAGTGCAGTGGCATGCTCACAGCTACTGCAGCCTTAACCTACTGTGCTCAGAGCGATCCTTCCCCCTCAGCCTTTCAAGTAGCTGGAACCACAGGCACACAGCACCATGTCCAGCTAATTTTTTTGATTTATTGTAGAGATGAGGTCTCGCCATGTTGCCTATTGCCTAGGCTTGTCTCGGACTCCTGAGTCCAAACAATCCTCCCACCTCAGGCTTTCAAAGTACTGGGATTACAGGCATGAGCCACTGCACCCAGCTATATTTCCTAATTTATTAGTAATTTAACAATTCTTTTAAACTGTGTTTACATGATAAAAATGTTCTGCTGGTTATGTTTCTGCTGTGGTTACAGTGATGCGTAGGTTTCATGTGGTCAACCTCAATTCTCTTTTTCCCATAGACCTTGTTTCATATATATATGATATATACTTATATATATGATGCATACATATGTATGATATATATATATCACTCACATTTTTTTTTTTTAATTTTTGAGTCTGGGTCTCACCCTGTCACCCAGGCTGGAGTGCAGTGGCACAATCACAGCTCAGTACAGCCTTGACCTCTGGCTCAAGCGATCTTCCACCTCAGCTTTCTTAATAGCTTGGACTACAGGTGGGTGCCACCACACCAAGCTAATTTAATTGTATTTTTTTTGTAGAGATGAGGTCTTCCTGTGTTGCCTAGGCTGATCTTGAACTCCTGGGCTCAAGCAATCCTCTTGCCTCAGTCTTCCAAAGTACTAGGATTTGAGCTACTGCACTGACCTATATATTAATATAATATAAATATAACATTTAATGCTTTTTATTATGTATTTTTATGTATTTATTTATTATATATTAAAAAATTTTTTTTTGAGTTAGAGTCTCACTCTGTCTCCCAGGCTGGATTACAGTGGCATGTTCAATGTACTGCAGCCTCGACCTGCTGGGCTCAAGCAATCCTTCCACCTCAGCCTTTCAGATAGCTGGAACTACAGGCACACACCACCATGCCCGGCTAATTTTTAAATTTACTGTGGAAACGAGTTCTTGCCAAGTTTCCCAGGCTGGTTTCGAACCTGTGGGCTCAGGTAATTCTCTTGCTTCAGCCTCCCAAAATGTTGAGATTACAGGTATGAGCCACCGCACCTGGCCTGTTTTTAACTTATTTATGTATTTATTCTCACCATGTTGCCCAGGCTGGCCTCAAACTCCTGGACTCAGGGGATCCTCCCACCTCAGCCTCCCAAGTAGCTGGGATTTTAAGCATTCACAGCAGCCCTGTTCTATTTAGTGCCTACTTCTGCAGCTTACGGAGGTTCTTAGGAATACTTAACATAAGAATTAAAATAACTTCCTTGAACCATTTCTCAAGATTGTTTGAGATTTTCAACAAGTCAGACAATGTGGCTCACACCTATAATCCCAGCACTTTGGGAAGTGGAGGTGAGAGAATTGCCTGAGTCCAGGGGTTTGAGACCAGTCTGGGCAACATGGTGAGACCTCGTCTCTACAAGTCAAAAAATTAGCCGGGGGTGGTGGCATGCGCCTGTAGTTCCAAATCTTGGAAGGCTGAGGTGGAAGGATCGTCTGAGCCCAGCAGGTCGAGGCTGCAGTGACTGAGCATGCCACTACACTCCAGCCTGGGTAGCAGAGTGAGACGCTGATGTGGGAAAAAAAAAATGCCAAGCTCGGTGGCTCAGCCTGTAATCCCAGCACATTGGGAAGCCGAGGCGAGTGGATTGCCTGAGCCCGCGGGTTGGAGACCCACCCCGGCAAATTAGCGAGACCTCGTCTCCACAATAAGTCAAAAAAATTAGACGGTTGCGGTAGCACACGCCTGTAGTTCCGGCTACTTGGAAGGCTGAGGCGGAAGGATGCTGGGAGCCCAGCAGGTCCAGACTGTGGTGGCCGGGAGTGTGCCACTGCACTCCAGTCTGGGTGACAGAGTGAGACTCCAACTCAAAAAAAAAAAAAAAAAAAAGAAGATCTTCAACAGGCATAATAGGTATGCTAATAATGAGAGATCTACTGCCTGTCAAAACAGACTGTAGCACTGTGTTGCTGGCACCAGAAAGTATCTTACAGATTGTGACAATTAAGTAAAACGATGGACCTTGGCCCAATCCTGCAGGTTGTGAGGATTAAATAAAATGTGGACATCTGGATGCTCAATAAATTAGCATCCTCGTCTCCCAAGTATAGATCCTGAGTCCCTGGGGAAAGTGAATTCTCTTTTCCAAGCCTCTTAGCTTCCCCTCTTAGAAACGGACGTAAGCCGGGCTCGGTGGCTCAGCCTGTAATCCCAGCACTTTGGGAGGCTGAGGTGAGAGGATTGCCTGAGCCCGCAGGTTCGAGACCCGCCTGGGCAACTTGGCGAGACCTCATCTCCACAATAAATCAAAAAATTAGCTGGGCATGGCAGCGCGCGCCTGTAATTCCAGCTACTTGGAAGGCTGAGGCAGAAGGATCGCCGGAGCCCAGCAGGTCGAGGCTGCGGTGGCCGGGAGCGGCCACTGCACTCCAGTCTGGGTGACAGAGTGAGACTCCAACTCAAAAACAAAACAAAACAAAACAGAGATGGACATAATAACAGCCAAGTACAGCCGGGCTCGGTGACTCAGCCTGTAATCCCGCGCCTTTGGGAGGCTAAGGTGAGTGGATTGCCTGAGCCCGCGGGTTCGAGACCCGCCTGGGCAGCGAGACCTCATCTCTACAATAAATCAAAAAAAATCACCCGGGCGTGGTAGCGCATGCCTGTAATTCCGGCTACTCGGAAGGCTGAGGCAGAAGGATCGCCGGAGCCCAGCAGGTCGAGGCTGTGGTGTCCGAGAGCGGCCACTGCACTCCAGTCTGGGCGACAGAGTGAGACTCCAACTCAAAAAAAAAATAATAACAGCCAAGTGCATGGCGTGGTTATGCGGACTCACGACTCGCTCAGCACTGCGCCCAGGCACCAGGAGAGGGCGCCGTTGAGGCTTTTATTGCGATGAAGACTGTAGGAGCCAGGGAAAAGCTAGATGGGTCTTTCTCATGCCTTTCTGCAGCTGAGTGCACCGTTATGGGCATACCCAGTATCTCCACCAACCTCTCCGGCTTCGGCTGCTTCATGGAGGAACACATCGCAGACCCCTCGGCCTACGGTCAGCGCCCAGGCGCCCTGAAAGTTACAGAAGGGGAACTGAGGGCTGGGGCCCTGAGGAGGAGGAGGAGTGTGGACTTTTGGGTCCCAAGGGGAGCAGAGAAGGGGGTGGCCTCTTGGGCCCCTGGGGGAGGAGGGGTCCTGGTGCCACAGAGTCCTGAGCAGAAAGAAGGTCTCCCCAGACCATATTCTGAGCCCCAACCTGGCCTCTGCAGGCATCTACATTCTGGACCGGCGGTTCCGCAGCCTGGACGATTCCTGCTCGCAGCTCACCTCCTTCCTCTACAGCTTTTGCCAGCAGAGCCGTCGGCAGCGCATCATCCAGCGGAATCGCACGGAGCGCCTCTCTGACCTTCTGGACTGGAAATACCTAGGCCGGGTAGGACACCCTCTCCTCCCCCCAGCTGGTGAATCAGCTGCTTCCACTTCTGGGTCCTTGGTTCCGCAGCTTTGAAACCCTGGTTTAGGGGTACCGGGTCTCCTGCTTCTAACAGTTGCTGTCCTTTTACAAAATGAAGCAGCTGGGCATAGTGGCTCATGCTGTAATCCCAGCACTTTGGGAGGCAGAGGAGAGAGGATTGCCTGACTCCAGGGAGTCGAGACCAGCCTGCACAACATGGTGAGACCTCGTCTCTACAATAAGTCAAAAAATTAGCCGGGTGTGGTGGCGCACACCTGTGGTTTCAGCTACTTGGAAGGCTGAGGCGGAAGGATCGCCTGAGCCCAATAGGTGGAGGCTGCAGTGGCCTTGATCGTGCCACTGCACTCCAGCCTGGTTGACCGAGTGAGACTCCAACTAAAAAAAAAAAAGGACTGAACCAACATCTCCTAGAGGAACATTGGTCAGTAGTTCTTCTCATTTGCATAAGGGTATAGCCAAAGAGGTATGTGAGTTAAGAATTGGCTCCTGGTGGAAGGTGTGTCTCAGAGACTGTCCATTTACAGCTGAGCTTATCTACATAAGGGGTGGAGTCAGATAGATGGATATTTGTATAGGTGCAGTCTCAGGTACAGCAGATTCACCATCCTTACCATGGCGGGGAAGTCCCGTTCCCGTGCCCCCTGACCCCCTCCCCTCCTTTCTCCAAGTACTATATGTCCGCACGCCACATGGCACTGGCCAAGGCCTTTCCAGATCATTTCACCTACGAGCCCAACGAAGCGGATGCGGTGAGTGAACTCTGGATCTCTGCCGGTCCAGGATCTGAAGGGCTGGGGTGGGGTGGGGGTCCATTTTGAAGAGGGGACGCCTCAAGGTGACCAAATGCCTGGGCAGGACTGTAGGGGCCTCTGCTCACTCTGTGGTTTGTGCCCACATCCCCTATGCAGACCCAGGGCTACCGTTACCCTCGGCCTGCCTCGGTGCCACCGTCGCCCTCACTGTCACGACACTCCAGCCCGCACCAGAGCGAGGATGAGGAGGATCCCCAGGATGAGCCGCCCGAGGGAGATGGAGAGCGCTATGATGAGGACGAAGAGGCCGCCAAGGACCGGCGCAATATCCGCGCACCTGAGTGGCCGCGCCGCACCTCCTGCGCCTCTTCCATGAGCGGGGGCAAGCGCAACTCGGTGGACACGGCGCCCTCCAGCTCACTCAGCACTCCAAGCGAGCCCCTCAGCCCCGCCAGCTCCCTGGGCGAGGAGCGCAACTAAGTCCGACCCGCACTCCCCTCCTGTCCTGTCTCCCTCCTCCAGAGGGTGGATGCAAGAAGGCGTTATTCCTAAACCCTGTTTTAGACCCCACATGGGATCCACACTCTTGCCTTGTGGCCCACAGCCCCATTCAGTCTGCCATACACTCCAGCTCCACTGTTGGAGTCCCCGCACTCCAGAATCCACAACACTGTGCCTTTCTCTGGTTCCAGAACACATAATCTGTGCCCTGGAGTCCCTCAGGCCTGGACTGCATCCCAGAAGCCAGGAATCTGCCATTACTCTGTAGCGGTGCCAGAGGTTTGAGAAAACCTGGTGCTTTCCAGGCCGGGGCTCCTAGAGCCCATTGTGGCGTGCAAATTTGACAGCATACAGCACATGCCGTGCTAGGCCTGACCTGGAGGACACCAAGTCCTGGAAGCCATGTGGTGTTCCTGCTAGTGGGACTATCAAGTACTTGCAGGGACTTAAGATACCTGAGAGCAGGTGGTCCTCCATTTCAGCACCAGAACATGAGCTCCAGGATGGTCTCATGGTCTAACCCTCCTGGGATGTCTGACTCTGCCTGGGGAATCCCTCCACCCTTGTTCTGTCATCTCCCACACTTTGGCCACACCAGGGTGGCAAAGTCACGTGGCTCCTCACTCCTTCTGGAGAACATGCGGGGTCCAGATGCCTTTCTGGCCTTTTCTGGACTGGGACCTACTCCTCCTTCCCTGAGTCTGAGTTTTCCCTTCAGGGAATCTGCCAGCAGAGGACAGAACTGGCCGTCTACCCCCGCCCCCACCCCATCCCCAGCCCACTGTGAAACCACTAGGTTCTAGGTCCCAGCTGCTGAATCTGGAGCCTTACCACTTTGCTGCATAATGGTCCCTTCCCGTGATCCAGAACTGAGCCCACTGGGTTCTAGAACCCCTACATTTACCTCGAGGCTCTTCCATCCCCAAACTGTGCCCTGCCTTCAGCTTCGGTGAGAGGAGGGGGGGCCCTCACGCATGCTGCGTCTGCACCTGCTTTGTTTGCAGTTGGGAGGGTGAGGGCAGTAGGGGTGTGATTGGAGTGTGTCCGGAGATGAAAAAATACATCTATATTTAAGAATCCCGGGTGTGGTCAGACAAGAGCACTTGGTGGGCCTTGCTCCTGACCCCTCCAACCCCACCTCCTCCCTGGTCCCCAAGTGCCAACTTGGTGATTTGGAGAGACCTAGGATTGCTGCTCTAAAATTCATGTTGTTCATGAAAGTGACCTCTGATTGCTTAGTTGGGACTTGATTTGCAAGTGGCAAAAGTTTGGCCCAAGCAATCTTTGGCATGAAGGCTGTATGACAGGAAGGAAGGTCCAGAGGGCAGCCATGAACTTCTTGTAGCTATTTAAATTAAATGCAGTTGCTCAGTAACTCTAGCCATATGCAGGTGTTTAGTGGCCACATGTGGCTCATGGCTACCGTATTGGACATCACAGGTGGACAGCACTGGCTTAAGTCATGTTTCCAGAATTCTGTGGTATCTGTCACTGTCATCTGTCCTCTGGATGGCTCTACATTTGGGGGAAAATCTTTTTCCTTTTAACCTTCACTAGGCTGTATGTGCATCTGAGTCATTCACGACGCCAGGAAGGTGCGCGTTGTTGAATTGGGAAGTGTGGTCGCCATTGTTAGCCATTGTTTGACAGACCCTCCACCCCCAGAATCACGAGTGGCCACCAAAGTGTGATGGCAAGAGGGTCATGCACTTAGATTTCTCTTACACCATAAAGGGGAGTCAGCTGATACAGCAGTTTTGTAACTTGGACACAGCAGATGCCTCTTTAAGCTTCTTCAGTTCCCATTTGGAGAATTTAGCCCCAAGTTTCACATCCCATTTCAGCATCACATGCTCCTGGATGCTCAGATCCACCTGACAATTCCAGCATGCTTCTTACACTGGGGTCACATGGGTCACCATAGGGGGGCACCTGGGTATGACTCCTGGTTGCTATGCCTTAATATCCCCATAAAAAGGGCAAATCATTCTACTTGTTTGACAGAATTGAGGCAGAGATAGTACTTTAAAGAGCCGGGCACAGTGCCTGCTTTCATAATCACTCATTAAATGGCTGTTTCCGATTACTGAAATCTAACAGCTACCAACACAGAATCTTACTAAACTGGATTCCGGTAAATATTGCTCTACCATCCGGGAGGGGCAGTTAACAGGAAGACAAGCAGACCACCCTCAAATTCCACACACCCCATATCTTAGATAAGAAAACGGGAGATGAGGCCGATTTCCCTGTCATCCCAACCCAGCTTAAAGCCTTGTGAAAACAGAAACCACCTCATTTTTCACACCACATACAAAAGCAAAAGCTGCTGCAAAAACTTTTATTTTTATTTGGTCCAGGGCAGTTAAAAAGCTCCCAGTGGCTGGAGGGGGAGGATCTGGCAGAAGAAGCCCTGATACTTTGAGAGGGGCCCCCCCAGAGGTCGCTGGGCTCCTAGTCGTGCTTGAGGGTGAGCCTTTCGAAGAGATACTCGCCCAGCCCAGACTCAGGCTGGGTCAGCCTGCGAAGGTTGGTCAGGTGGTCACCCATCTTCTTGATGAGTTTCACCTCCTCATCTAGGAAGTGGTTCTCCAGGAAGTCACAGAGCTGAGAGAGAGAAGAGAAATTAGAAATCCAATCCCTAGAAAAGAGAAAGGCAGAGCTGCCGCTTACAGATAACGAGAACAGATGTGGTATACGAATCAGAAGGAAATCTACTCAGCCAAAGGGAACCAAGACTTGAAGGGTATGGGGTGGGCAGACAAAGACGTAGGAGATACTTACATGGGGGTCTGTGGATCCCAGGGCATGAAGGTCCAAAAGGGCTTGGTTCAGGCTCTTCTCTAAGGCCATGGCGGCTTCCATAGCATCCAGGGTTTTACCCCACTCATCTTGAGAGGGCTTCTACAAAAACGACAAAAACGTCTCAGAACGACTCACACGCAACCGACAAAGGGCTGAAACTACGTTTCCCAGTCGTTGACGGGAGTCGGAGGCCCGGCCCAGAAGGTCAAGGGAGAGCTTGTATTTACCGCCCCACCCGGTCTCCCACAGCTACACGGCCCAGGAGACGACGCGTGCGCCTCCACTTCAGCCGTAATACTCCGTCTCCCAGAAGCCCGTGCGACACCTAAGCGACTCAGGGTAAGGCGCCGCGCGCGCACGGCCTGCTGGGAGATGTAGTCCGCCACCCACACGCTCCTCACCTGGATATCCTGGAAGAGGGCGCGGCCGCCACGCTGGTTTTGTAACTTCAAGAGACGCTCGGCGCCCTCGTGTTTCTCCTCCGCCAATTCGCGGAAGAAGTGGCCCACGCCTTCCAGAGCCACATCGTCGCGGTCGAAATAGAAGCCCTGCGGGAAGAGATGGAGGGAACAATGGGTCAGCGGGAGGCGAAGCCAGGCGTACCGACTCCGCCCTCTGTTTACCCAACCGGACAGAGAAGAGCAGCGCGTGCGCAGAAGGCCCGAAGTGCGCAGTTAGAAAAATAGGGGCGGGGGCGCCCCAGGTACTCACCAGAGAGAGGTAGGTGTAAGAGGCCCGCAGATGCAAATTGACCAGGCGGTTGACGGCTGCCTCAACCTCGGTGGAATAATTCTGGCGAACCTGGGAGCTCATGGTTGGTCGGCAAAAAGGAGCTAACTGCAAAAACGGTGGTCGCTGGTCCCAGAAACAGGAGGTGGCCGAGAAGGTGGTCACGGAGGTTGCAAGTACAGAGGAGATCGGAGGGCAGTGGGAGGCTGGAAGAGAGGGAGTCCCTGGGTCTGTTCCGTCCAAACACTGTTGAAGCAAGAGACAGATCCGCGGGACCGCCGAACGCACTGCAAGGGGGTGGTGGCCAGGGCGGCTTCTTTTATAGTACGCGGGCCCCAGGAGGCGGAGCGCCCACGGCGAGCAAGCGGCCAATCCGCGTTGGCAGGAGGCGGGGCCTGAAGGCCGTTCCTGACCAATGGGAGCAATTAGGAGGCTCAGCCCCTCATCCCGAATTGGGGGAAGTCACGCGCCTGCAGCGCCGGGTTGTTGTGAAATGGGGAAATGGGGGTGGGAGACTGGGGCTGATTCTGGAAAGTGCAGGGTTTCTGGGGGGGGAGGGTCTCTGGGAGCTGAGAGATTTATGGGAGCATTGAGAGCCCTGGAAAGTGATGACACTGGAGGTTTGGGGTGTCTCAGGAAAGAAAGATTCTGGGGTAGTTTTTGAAAGCATGGATTTTTCTGGAGCCCTGGGTGGGGGGGTACCCCAGAGAAGCGTGAGAGCACCTCCATTTGCCTGGAGTTTGCGCTGCGACATAAAGGTTTTCCAGATCCTTGTGAAGTTTGGGTGACTGTAAGAGTATTTCTGGAAGCCTGAGGATCTCTGGGAGATGTGGTGGGGAAGACTGGAGCCCTGGGGTTTACACAGAGGTGTGGTTTCACTATGGAAAGTCCATATTTTCCTGGAGTCCCCTGAGATCTTTTGCCCCTTGGGGTGGTCTGCAAGATGGAAAGGGCAGCTCTGCAGCCTTGGGGTTCACCGGCCTTGGGACTCACCCTGGGGGCAATGTTTTTGGAAGCCTCATAGGGACACTTTATGAAGTAGGGTGGATCTTGGAACCCTGGACAGCCCTCCCGAGATTGGCTGGGCCTTTTGGAGTAACTTGAAGCTATTTCAGGGGCCCAGTGTTTTTCTGGGAGCGGAAATGGGGAAAATGAAATGACTAGAGTTTGGGGATTTCTCTGAGACTGCATTTCCTGGGGGCTGTCTTGGAGGCAACTCAGAGGCTCCAGGAACCCTCCTTGGCCCTGAAACAGTCTCTGAACTTGTCTCAGTGTCTCACCTGACATGTGCTCTTTCAGGCTCACAAAGAGAAGCCCTGGGATGTGGAGACACAGGGACCCATGGACGAGATGTCTGTGTTTGAGTTATGCACGTCTCTTAAGTAAGCCAGTTTCATGTTGATGCCAGGGAGACAGAGCTGGCGTGAGCCAGGACCCTGCCTCGAAAGATCTCTGGGTCTGGGGGAGAAGGGAGATTCAACAAAGACGGGACCTTGACCATACTCAAGTGCCCTAATGGAGGGTTCCTGTGCTGGGCAGGCAGCTGAAGCCACTGGAGCACAGCCAGGTGGAGTGGCCCCTGACCAACACCTGCAGCTGCCAGGGCGGTATCTGGGGGGTATCTGGGGTCCTCAGAGGGTGTCTGGGCCCGCGGCCCCAGCAGCTGTGCTGAGTCACGCTGAGCTCAGCGAGAAGGGGCTCGACGGGAGGGGCGGGGGCGGGGCCACTCGCTGACCTCATCCCCTTGTCACTCTCCAGCTCCTTTTGGTGGGATCCTTGGAACCAGGCCTGACTTAGACCCAAGCCGGTCCCCCTCCCTCAAGGTGCCGCTTGTGGGAAACCGGTTGTGTGCTTTGTCTTAGTGTATTTTTAGTTCCCGTGCTTTCCTTGGGATCTGCCTGTGGCCATATTGTCCCCTCTCTGGGTGGTGGCTTGGTTTCCCCTCTTCTGTATCTCTCCCTGACTCGGTGTCTCTGGAGAGAGTCCGTGGGGGAAGGGCAGCCACCCCAGGCACCCAGGCGACTGTCGGAGTGAGTTACTCATTCACCATATTTCATTCCTCAGCCAAAGACCTTTAGCAGCAGGCTAGCCCCACCTGTGGAGGGGACCTGGAAGAGCCCACAAGGTGGAGGGAGAGGAGGGGCTGAGACCGAGGATCCGAAGAAGTTAGAGAACACGGGGTGGGGCTGGGGAGACAGAAGGGGGGGCAGTGATGGGGAGAAGGGGTAGGAATCCAAAGAGAGAGGGAGACAGAGACCCAGAGAGAGGGGGAGAGACACAGAAGGAGGTGGAGACCTGGGGGAGGGAAAGATCACAGGAGAGGACAGGAACCCCAAGAAAAGGTGACAGAGACCTAGAGAGAGAGAGAGAGAGACAGAGTCCGGGGGAGGGAGACAGAAACCCGGGGAGATGGGGGTGGTGAGACAGAGACCAAAGGAGACAACAGAGATAGGCACCCAAGAGAGAAGAGGACAAAGACCTAGAGAGCAGACAGAGGGAGGTAGGGGGTGGCAGAGATGGGGGGATAGGGACCCAGGGAGGGGGGAGCAGAGACTCAGAGATGGGAGGGGGAAATTGACAGAGACCCAGAGAGAGAAAACAGACCTAGAGAGGGGACAGCAGCACCTCCGACCCTCCCTCTGTGGCCTCCTATTGCCTAACACCCTTCCCTTCTGACTCCTTGGGCCTTTTTCTGAGGGCAGCATCCCCCCCAGGCCTCTCCTCTAGGGGAGGGCCCCACCCGCTACCGGTCTTCCTTCCTCCTTCCCTGCAGCCATCAGTCTCCAGCCTTGCTCTCACAGCCCCTCAGGCCTGGGCCTCTCATGTGCCAGCCTCCCTTCAGCCTCCCAATCTTCAAGAACTTCCCTGCAGGGCTCCACAGCCCTCCCTGCTCCTTCTCCCCTTCTCCAGCTCAGAAGACATGTAACTTCCTGCTCACGTGTTGCTGCTTCCAGGCCCTGGTCCCTTCAGCCCGGTAGCCTGTCGCCGTCTTCTTCCCCATGCATACTCCCCACACCCTGAGCTGGCTCAGCCCTTGCCCATGAGCGCTGACATCACCCCGGCAGCACAGACACCAAGGCCGCTTGGCCTCCCTTCCCTTTAGGGCTGTGAGCTCCTGCAGGGCTGGGACTGACTCAGTACTAACCCAGGCAGCACTGGGCACCCCTAGAAAGAGTTGAGGAAGCGAAGAGCACTTCAAGCCAGAGCAGGCACCTGGGGCCCAGCATGAGGAAGGCGAGCTGGGTCCGCGTGAGGCCTCCTCTCCGGATGGCAGCAAGTGGGCCAGTAGGCCAGTGAGCCAGTGACTCAGATGCCAGAGTGTGGCCTGAAGGAGGTTTATTGCCCCCCCCGGAAGCCACTCTTCCCCACCCCCCAATAATTACAAAAGTAAGAAAAATGCCCAAGTCCCCCGGTCCCCACCCCTCCCAGAAAAATGCCATAATTTATGCAGAAAAAACACAGTCCAAGGCAGCAGGGGCCTCAGCCCATCTTCTTCCAGATAGTGAGTGAGGCGGTGAGCACTCCGGCCACGAAGATGGTCACTGTCTGCCACGTCGGGGTCCCAAAGTAGGAGAGAAGGCCGTCCTGGGGACAGGGACATCAGTTACTTCAGTGACTCCACCAGGGGCAGCCCCGGAATTATTATCAGTGAACTTGAGGGATTCCAGAGGACATGGAAGCCCCAGGGAGGGTGGAAGGCCCTGATCAAGTAGGGGTCACTGGGAGGTCAGGGGGTCACCAGGAGGGCAGGGGTCATCAAGTGGACAGGGGAATACCAAGAGAATGTGGGGTTGACCTGACAGGTAAGGAAACACATTACAGACCACATCTGATGATCTGAAAACGGGGTAGGGACACCACTCGGATGGGTTCAGGCTCAAGGGTCCCAGAGTGGCAGGGAGGGCGGAAGTGGGGCTGAGGAGTCTCACCCAACCACCCTGGTCTTGGATCCAGCCCAACAGCCGCTCTCGGAGGAAGTCCAATGTCCAGCCCATGATGGTTCTGATCAGCTCGGGCACCTTGGTGCACACGGCCTGCGGGAGTGGGGTGGATATTACAGACTGAGTCCAGTCCCCATTACCTGGAGATAGTGGCCCCGAGCCTTCTCTCTCTGTTCCTTTCCTCCTCTTGCAGAGTCTTTTCCACCCACAATCTAAGTCAGCTTCAAAAACTGCAAACTAGATTACATCACTGTCAACTGCCCTGCCCATGAGCCTTCTGTGGCTCCCCAGTGCCCTAGGACAAAGACCTAAAGGCACAGCATGGCCCATAGGGCCCCATGTGAAGGCTCTGACCTGACCTCATTTCACCTTTCCATTTCCTTTCTGGGCCTCATTGATCTTCCATTTTAAAAAATCTTTAAATAGGAGTCTCACTCTGTTATCCAGGCTGGGGTGGAGTGGCACACGCATGGCCACCATGGCTTCGACCTGCTGGGCTCAGGTGATCCTTCCACTTCAGGCCTTCCAAGTAGCTAGAACTACAGGTATGCGCCACCATGCCTGGCTAATTTTTTATTTTTATTTTTGAGTTGGAGTCTCACTCCATCACCCAGGCTGGAGTGCAGTGGCACGCTCCTGGCCACCACAGCCTCTACCTGCTGTGCTCCGGCGATCCTTCTGCCTCAGCCTTCCAAGTAGCCGGAACTACAGGCATGTGCTACCATGCCCAGCTAATTTTTGATTATTGTAGAGATGAGGTCTCGCCAAGTTGCCCGGGCGGGTCTTGAACCCATGGGCTCAGGCAATCCACTCGCCTCGGCCTCCCAAGGCACTGGGATTATAGGCTGAGCCACCCAGTCTGGCCATTTTTTAAAATTTAATTTATTGTAGAGACGAAGTCTCGCCATGGCTAGTCTTGAGCCCGTGGGCTCAAGTAGTCCTCTTGCTTCTGCCTCCCAAAGTGCTGAGGTGCAGGCGTGAGCCAATGTGCCGTTTCTTCCATTTTGTATGTTCACCAAGCCATTCCCTGTCTCAGGACCTTACTGCACACGCATCCTTCTGCCCAAACAGGCTTCAACCAAGCAAATTTTCACTCACCCCTTAAGGGTCAGGTCAAACCTCACCACTTCCTCAGAGTGGGTTTTTCTAGACCAGTGAAGACCACACTCTGCCCATACTCATGACCTGCCAACCACTAGAGCTTTCCCTTTCCACCAAGCTTTATCTGGTTGCAGTTCCCCTATGCTCCCCAGCCCCGCAGGCACTCCTACTGTCACTCTGCTGTTCCCTTACCTCCAGCTCAGGCCTCATCAGCTTGATCTTGAAAACCCACCAAGAAATATCCTTTCCCACTTCAACCACTGCCACCTGGGTCCCAGCCTGTCATTT